TGTATGTATGTATGTATGTATGTATGTATGTATGTATGTATGTATGTATGTATGTATGTATGTATGTACTTGAACTGAACTGCTCTCATCTAATCAGAATTGAGTAATTTTTTTATGTATATTATTATGTCAGTTACTATAAGCTATAAAATTACAAAAGGACAAAAACATTGTTAATACAGGGCAAGTTCAGTGTGTTGTTAGCTTAACAACTACCAAACCAAGAATACAATTTTATCCAATTTTCAAGCTAATAAAGAATTCAAGCTAAAAAGCCGTGCTGACCTTGACAATTTTACAGAAGTTCAAGAAACTAAAATTATATTTTAACTAACTTGCTTAAAGAACATTTTTTGCATTAATTATTATCCTGTAAATGCTTTGTACCAGTAGGAAATAACATGTTTATCGACTGACTCAAAACACTGTGTTAAGTGTTTCAGTAGTAAAGTAATCAGTATCACTGGGTTGAATTCCAGTGAAATTACAAACTGGGTTTTCTTTACCATGGCTCACATTAATTTATAATGAGAAGTTTAGTACTGTACTATGATCTTGTTTTCTCCAGCCCCTTTTTTTGTTGTTTTTGTAGATTTTTTGTCGTACCGTTTTTTTTAAACATAATTTTGCAACAAGATGGTTTTTATCATCCTGATTCTAGAACTGGTGGGTTCATCAAGCAATGATGCAGTAGTCTTATCGGAAAGGTCATGGGTTTCAGTTCCCTGTCAATTCACTTTTTCAGTGACTGTTACTCCAGTTCTCAGGGTTGAAATCTACCATTGATTTGAATCAATTATTCACAGAAACCTCACATAATTACATGGGCCCTCTCCGCTTTATTTTCTTTCTCTCCAGTGATGAAAACATACAACTGTTGCTGCCCATTTCAGCTCACTTGGATTACTTATTTTCATTCTGCATTTATCAGATCTAATAGATTTTCAAGTTGCTGAAAGCTTGCTATATTGGCCTTCTTCCAGTGCCTGACGCTTTCCTGTGTTTGCCCTTATCAGTTTCTGATATTGGTCCACCTCATCCTTCCTGTGTTTGCCCCCTTATCAGTTTCTGATATTGGTCCACCTCATCCTTCCTGTGTTTGCCCCCTTATCAGTTTCTGATATTGGTCCACCTCATCCTGGCCGAGTGCTCATCTCCAGTAGGAGCATGGTTCCTAGAAGCTTATGATGCTGGTTCCATCCCAGCATAGGCATCATTTTGTTCAGGCCTTCATTCTGCAATGTTTTTGAATGTAGAGTTGCTTGAGTTGTTAGCCAACTTCAACCTCATTCTCTCAGCTGGCAGGTTGATGAACCATTTCAAATGGGTTTTCACTTTCTACTGATTTTCAACGTTTCTCCCATGGCCAGTTGCAGATGTAGTGTGCCACATCATTCCTTTGACAAATAACAAGGGCCTTGACAAACTCCCTCATTGTGGTTTCCGGGGTAAAAGTTTTAAATTTTGCCAAAAGGCTTTCTGTAGGACTTCTATCAGCTTTGTAACCAGTTTCTATCAAGTCCAAATCATCAGAACTGATGTTCATAGCATATCCAACACTGCGCCACGTTTTTCGGTCTGGATTGCCTACGACATCAAGCTTGCGTTGAACATAGAAGAGCATTGGCTCACCTTTATTATCATGCAGCTGTTCCATTTCAGAGACACGGCAATCTGAATGCCAAGAAAAAGAAACATTTAGTTGGATAATACTCTTAATTTATTTCTGCTATGAAGTTCTCAAGGATGCAATGGGCTTTTGAGCCCTCCATACTCTATTGGTAAGGTAGGTAAAGTCTGCATACGAGCCAAGTGGCCCATCAGGCCGGAGCTTATCCCGGTTTCTGTAGCATGAAGCGACTAGGAGTATTTCNGGAAAAAAAAAACCAAGATAACTGAACCTTGAGTTGATCAAGTGTCATAATCAATAAGTAAGGGTAATTAATTTTTAGAATTGCATACATCATGTTGCAAAACTAGAAAGTTTAAATTACCTGTGGCAATAAGTTTTGTGATTTTAATACCTTTGATAACTATTAAAATTGACGAAATTCTGTGTTACCATCTGAACAGGAACCACAAATGAATGCTGGCTTAAATATTCAGCCTTGGGATAGGTCTGACAGTGCATCTGATGGCCAAACGGAATGAGTCTGGACTAGCTATTGCAAGATTTGTGGGTTAAGGCTGTAAATTCATTTTTTTTTGACATTTGTCCTGAGCATCAACCACTTAAATAGTCGCTTTAACTCTCTTGCTGATATTACACATAAAGACTACCATACCTGCTGGAATGTTTTCTGTATT